AGACTACACAATGTGTTGTGTCTAAGAACAAAAGTTTTGTACATCTCAAGCTTATGGTCCTACATCTTCACATTTCTGTAAGATACCATAAATTAGTGTTAAGCTCTACATAGCGGGTGACATAACCAGGTGTTACCTGCCTCACCCAAACCTATTACTTTTTCTGTTATTTTTTGGTTCTCCATTTTTTTTAAACCTGCCTTTCCTAACCATTCTCTGACTACATGAATCATCCATAAAATAAAAACCTAGTTTAACATGCTTCACATTAAACTTTACCAGAACTCTGAAGCAGACTTATGGCTTTCTGCAGAGCCTCTGCACATGAATGGAAGATACACTATTTGAATGCAATATGTTTAGTAAGTTTATGGTGATAAAATGGGATGGAAGAGACCATTGAAGATGTCATCTGTATTTCTCAGCTAACAAAAAAAAACAAAAAAAAAAAACCTCTCTTATATCTCTAGCATTCCACACATGCTATTAAACAGAAATAATTCCTTCTGTGCTAACAAACCATAGACAGGTTTCAGAGTAGTAGCCGTGTTAGTCTGTATTTGCAAAAAGAAAAGGAGTACTTAGAGACTAGCACCTTAGAGACTAGCAAATTTATTTGAGCATAAGCTTTCGTGAGCTATAGCTCACTTCATCGGACCATATATAGTATGACTCAGTAACATAGCCGTTAAATAAACTTGTTTAGATGCTGCTACTCAGTACAAGGAGTTAAGCAGTTACACATTAGATAATTTAGATGGGAAGGGTGATAATCCTGTAGGTGTTTTTCCCCATTAATTGATACACCATTAGGCTGAGTATTTTTAAATAAGGCATAAAGATACATAACTAAAGCCAGAGTATAATACAGTGGATGAACCAGAGGTCTGATTATTTAAAATGAAAGAAGATGCAGTATGTATGGCAGTAGATAGAATCCTTTGCCATGATATTTTAGATCTGATTCTTCTCTCATTCTGCTTTTACATCAGTGTAATTTCAGTAGAATTACTCGTGAATTTACAGTAGCCTATCAGAGAGGAGAATCAGACCTTTCTTATTAACCTTAGGTCTAATCAGTGAAAAATAAGTTATTTTGCAACCATATGAAGGAAAATTTCCCTTTTTCCTTTAACAAACCACAGCGCCATCAGGTCCTCTGACAAGCGGCAGCTCCTCTGAGCCCCAAGTGACACACTCTTGTCACTGAGCTGCAGTTATTTGCCACCTAACTGAGGGGTTTATCCTCACCTGATTAAAACAGGGTGTTTGTTAAACACCATTACACAAGTTAAAACAATGCCTCATCTTCTTTATTTATAGATCTTAACTCGGTTAAGTTGCCATCACCAATTGTTTTCTGATTGGACCTTTCAGCCAATAACTCTAACAAACAAAAAGCATCTAATAAGGACGGTCTTTCTGTCATTATGGAGGAGGAGGAAAAAAAGGGGATTTTTCTGTTAACTGTTCAGGGATTGCTTAGCTCTATGTCCTATTCTTACTAGGGTGAGCAGTATGTGAAGAGATTTGTTGGACTAGCTCAATCACTACTTTTTCTAAAAACACATTTAAAGTCAAAACACTGAATAGTGATTGTGCATCTAATTTGTTTATGGTCTACATGTGCTAGTTTCATAGTTCTAGTTTTAGATACGCTGTATATTTGGCACATGTTCCTCTGTATTTTTTCTTCCTGCCTTTGTTGCCGTGAAATTTAATGAGAGGTACCAGATTAACAACCCTGGAGACTGACATCCTACATTTACCCACAAAATACAGGCAATGCCAAAACAAGTTTTCCCTACAAAGCCTACCTGACCCGCAGGGAACATTTATTTTTGATTGTCATATTTGAAAACAAGATTCTTTGATTAGGTCAAACACACTATGAACAGAATTTGAATTTGCAACTTAATTTAACCATTTGACCTTAACAGTAAATCCACTCAGGCAAAATTAATTACAAACTATTTTCCTGGTATTTTTGAAAATATCTTTCTATTTTCACTTAGCTTTTAAGTGTTTTTTGACTGCACAAAAAATCCTAACAGTCATTTCAACATATTAAGTATAACAACCTGTGAATTTACTGCAGGAGTTTACTGCAAAGATTAATTAGTCTTCAACACTGTTCTAGTTGGTTACTCCAGCCGAAGACACCTTAAAAACATCTGGCTATTGCAAAGTGTGGCAGAGAGGAAACTAATTTCATTGAAGAGAATTATAACCAATTTCAGATTAACTGTTGTACTACTGCATGAAAAATAGCTGAAAGGTAGCAGAAAATTATGGAAATCTGTTTAATAGATCTCTGTTGAAAGTTCATTTGTTTATAAATACGTACACAGGTCCTTCAAACAGGCACATACTTTTTAAGCACGAGTAGTCCCATTGACTACAGTGGGACTACTCAAGCTTAAAGTTAAGAAAGTCCATCAGTGTTTGCAGGAATGATACCTATATTAAGCTATTTAATCTTTACCAAAAACTAAAGCGTCAATCACTTATCTAAGCACAATGCAATTGCATTTAGCATGCCCTAAATGACAATATTCTCAATGTCCCTTGTTTCCAGTGTGTATGTCTGAGTTTAACATGTCTGTATAATAGTAGTGTGTCTACACATGTATTGTAGCTTTGTATAAATTCTTAGAGTCCCTCTTCAACAACTAACATTTTATTCCTCCTAAATGAAGCTCTTATAATGAAATTTAAAATTGCAAAGGTTGTGAGATATTTTAAACAGTAGCACATTTAGATAATTTCAACCAAATTATGATATTATTAGCAAGTCATGGGGATCAAGTCTCATTGCAATATTTTAAAACAAAATGGTGGTGAGGGGGAATACAAACTAATGATAAAGTTTAATGGAGAAATATATTACCTGCTGTTCATTCAAATAAATTTGATGCCACATAAATTTTTCCTTAACAATTTGATTTTCATTAAATTTATGACTCAATATGGAATCATGAAGGACACATTTGGCAGTATATTTTTAAAGATTTTGTTTTTTGAACAGAGATTAGTTTGTTTTAAAAAAACAATTATCAGCATTATTGGCTTTTATATGCCACTTCAAGTGAATTTTAATTGTGAATTTTAAGAAATTACATTGGAACATATCCAAGGCTATAAATACTTATAACTTTGTAGGACAACCATAATGAAGTCTCTCATATTCACGTTTACAATATTATAGGACCAATCATGCCATCAGTTTTTAAGCAGAAATGGAAATGAATGGAGTTATCTTTAAAAACTGATGGTGCAAGATAGCCTGTCCTGTGTTTTTTAAATCTAAAAGCATCCTGAAAGGAGCTAAGATGTTAGTTTGGAAATAAACAGGTTAAATATCTGCCATCATCTTGGGATCAGCATGCAGGAATGTTCCAATACATATGAATTACAATGTCACATGAAAATAGAAGCACTCAATGTATTTGGAAACTAAGAATAACAAAATCCTCCATGAAAAGCGTTCCAGAGGAGGAAAATTCTCAGTAAACCAGCAAATTCTATTAAGTCTAAACAATAAACTATTCCTGCTAGTTACATTAGGAGCGTTAAGGGATGTGCATGTCTGATACTATACTGAACAAAACGGTTGCTAATAAATTGGATGTAGACCAATAAAAGTTTGATTAACCATATGTATTTCAACAATTAAAATTTCATCCAAGAGGAATGTATCATTAAATTAATAGATTACATTTGAAATATGGCAGTTGTATACCTGAAATAATTTCCTTTAGAGGCATTCTCTGACTCAAACATTAAATAAACTTTGAGCGTTACCTCTAGTGTGATTTATACACTTAATTTTTCCCCCTATGTTCACTGTGAACAAAATTTTGTATTAATTAATTTTAAGTCTATATTTAAGTTACTCAAATAGTTGTGGTTTGTAAATAAACTTGTTTTAAACTAGTTAAATGACTTGCACAGAGTTTTTTAAAACTACATCAACTAATTTAGATTGACTCAATATATAAAACTTATGCTCCAGTCAAACTATTACATAACATGAATATTACTACTGCACTTAAAAAAACATTGCAGAATTGATGACAGTGTTTTCGCAAAGCAGTTTTCTGACATTTTTAAGGTTACCTTTTTTGGCACTAAGGTATTCGCTTAGGTATCAAACCTAAGCTAACATTTTACATCCTCAGATTTCATGGTGAGATTTCATTTTCCAATGACTTTATTTTAATATTCTTGTCTCCCTTCACTCTTTCTCAGAAACAACTTATTTCAGATTTAAGGCTCCCTAACTATGGTATTTACAGCAATACAAACACAAGGCAATTTATTAGCACTTTGCTTTAAATTAAATATATGCCAATTAAACCAAAATAATGCAATTAATTTATAGGATACAAAATGGCCAAGTGGAAATATAAATAGAAGTACTTAAGTCTTAACCATTATTATGAACAAATAACGTACACTTTTCATTTCCACTCTAAAGCACAGCAAATTGCTCTTTACTAAGGGAAAAATCTCTATTTTTTGCATATTACTAAATTTTACTGTCTGTCCACACACACACACACTTTTCCCACATGGTTCAAAGCTATTACCGTTTAGGGTAAATCATGCCACCATCGATTTAAAGCAAATAACAATTACTCCATGTGTTAACATAACAGAAAACTGAGAAAGCAGAATCAATAGTCACCTACCCAGAATGGCACGAGGCTTAAAATTAATTCAATAAATCCACTCTCCTGCTTCTATCCCCACGAGCTAACTAGCGTCACTAAAGAAGATTTTACCCACAAAGAACTCCCTCCTACTCTTATCAACATTGTTTAAACCCCCTACTCAGGCTAGTAGATGCACCCTCTGTGCCTTTTTCAAATTGCTCCAGAAACAATACTAAAGCGAGGGGACGGGGGACTGAAAAAAACACAGCATAATTTAAAGCTAATGAGTTTGGGGTTTTTTTTAACTGCTTAATCAGTGTAAAATGACAAAGATTCTCCTACCAGTCCCTGCTCTCCACTCCACACACAGTGCACCTCGCTGGGGTGGGCAAGGGAAGAGAGAAATTTTGGAGAGACCCAGGCACGCTGCGATAACGTCTCGGAGTTTAGAAAGTGGGGGAAAGAGTTTTTCTCGAGCTCTGTTTCTGCTAGGAAAAAACGAGCGTGTGTCATTACAAAGCGGCCAAGTGAGTGACAGTTTCCTCTTCCTTCCCTGCGATGGGGCAGGTGGAGGGGCACTTGGGCTGGGGGATGCACTAGGCTCCCCCTCCCCAGCCCCCCAAGAAACAGAAGGCAGCCGCAGCATGGGGAGGACCGGAGCCGGGTATTTCATCTGAGCGCCCAAACCCTGTGCAAAGGGCTGCACGTTTCCTTCCAACTTGGAGCTCTCAGGCAGCCGCCCGGCTGAAATCCCCACTCCCCAGACAAGGGCGTGGGGACCGGTGCCTAAAGCATCCCTCGCTTCTCCCCGCCCCTCGCAGGCAAGGGCCAGTGTCCAAAGCACCCCCAGGTGCCCCTCTGCGTGCCCAGCGGGGCCAGTGCCCCGACTGCGCTGGCAGGGAAGGGGTCGCACTCACCACCGGCTGCGGAAGGCGCTCGCCCCGGGGCTCTCCGCTCCCTGTCCCCGCACCGCCCGCGAGGGGAGGGAGGCTGGGGCAGCTGCTGCGCGGCTGGGAAGTCTGGAGCCGGTGTAAGAGCAGGCTCTGCCGGGCTTCCCAAGGCGCCCTCCAAACTCCTGACACAGCCCCAGTGAGCATGTGCGGAGTGAGTGCGCACATGCCCGCTGGGAAAGTGAAGCCTCTGCCCTTACCTTGCCCCTTGCCAGGAGTCCGATCGCGAGCCCGGAGCACGGGGCTGCTGGCAGGGCAGGTGCTGGACAGCGGGGTCACCGCGCTAGTAGGGAATGGCAGAATTCCGGTCTGCGATGCTGGAGCAAGGAGGAGGGGGGATCCCTACAGCGAAGTCAACGTTGGGGCCAGGCTTAATAAAGCAGCCCCCCCCCACCCCCCCAGAAAAAAAAATCATGAGATGGGCTTGAAAAATCACCGGAGTTTAAAAAGCCAAAACAATTTATTTTAATTTGCCTTCTAGCTCTGAGCCTGCAGGGCGCACTAAGGTCCCATTTTCAAGCTCTTCTCCTCAAACGCGAGGGCTAGAAAGTTGAGGGAGAGAATTCTGAGATGGTCCTGGAACCACTTGTCTCCAGAAGCGGAGGTCAGAGGTAAAACACCAGTTACTGCGAAACCTCGCCATAAAATCATCAGGATTGGCAACAGAGATGTTCATGGTGCCTTCACTTCAAGATTTCATAGGGCGAGATGCATGGGGGTTGTTCCAAGTACTTCACAATCCAAGTACATTGTGTAAATAAATCTGCTAATAGGTATATGTTTCGCTCTCAATTGTCTTTCAGATTATTCTGAGTTCCTCTTTTATTTATTACCCTCTTTGATTTCTCTTTAATTGGTGCTGGTAGTTGTTTAGCCTATTTTCCCCTTCTTCTGAATTTATAATGCTTCTTTTGCTGTTATCAAATCTGCCTCCTATTATGACATTTTAATTGTTTTGCTGAAGAAGTACCTTTATAAAATGTGAAAGAATTCATAACAAAAGCCAATAAATGGTTTCAATAATTTGGTAAGGTGTAATAGAATAGTATGCTTTTGTCTGTATTATTAAGAGAAATACGTAGCTATAAAATGGTATAAGTATACATTTAAATATAAAATGTAAAAAAAAAAAATTGATGCTGTAACTGATTTAAAGTGGGAAGACGGTTTCCACTCCAGTAAAACAATTGTTTTGTGGTAGTTTCCGTTTATACACATTGCTTCGCAGACTGGTGACTTAGAGTGCTAGGGCCTGATCCTGCAAACGCTTACGTGAGTAAGGTGACTAACCTGTGTTGTCCCGTTGAGCTCATTGATGCACAGGGAGCAGAGCTTTTCACAAAGCAGGTGGTGCATGTGCCGCCCCAAGCAGCCTCCTCAGATTCTGCAGTTCCTCTGCCAGGAGACCCATCATGTACACACAGACTAGCTTGATACATGAGCCACACATATACAAATAGAAACACTCAGATATGTCCCATATATACAGAAAAAGACACATGAGATTCAGAGATACATTCTGATCCTCTCAGTATATACACCTTACTGAATCATGCATATCTCCCCACTCCTCCCCCAACCATATATGTACAAGTGCATACTCTGTATATCCACTTCTTTCACATCCACCCCACATTCTCACACACACAATCCATCCACGCACATTAATACACTCATGGATTTAACTCAAACTTTTGACAATGGAACAAAAACATCATTGCAACTAGACAGCTGGTTTTACTATCAAAATCCCTTGGATCAGCCTGACTGCAAAGTATTCCAACATTTCAAAGGAAATCCAGAGTCCAGCATCAGCTTGGAGCTGGAAAAATTCCTAATATGAACTGCCTTCTATAGCCCCACAAAACCAAAACTCAGTTGTTACTCTCCTTCCTCTCCATAAGTTCATTCACAGCACTAACCCACCATGGGTTTGCTGCAGTTCTGAATCTGTGTCACTCTCACATGTCATATTAACCTAAATCACTAGCCTGGACTACCACTTCTCTGATTCTCTTCACCTACATTTCTGACCCAGTGCTGATCCACATGCTATCCATAAGTAACCATGTCCTTCATGAATAGTCTCTGCAACTTTCCCTCCTTCCTCCAATAACCTAATTGCCCTGTTAGCAGGACTCCTTACCAAGCAGGTAAATACATAATGGTACTTACATACAAAAAATCTTACATACAAAATACACTCAGGCCCTGATTTAACAAAGTATGTTAGCAGCTGCCCAGCTTTATGCATGTGAGCAGTCGTAATAACTCAGTAGGATTACTCATGTACTTACAGCTAGACACGTGCTTAAGTTATTATTCTTATTTGTATCAGTGCCTAGGACACCCAGTCATGGACCAGTAGTCTCCTGTGCTAGGTGCTGTACAAATGCAGAACAAAAAGACAGTCCCTGCCCCCCAAAGAATTTACAGGCAAAGAAATTATGAATTGGGGCCTGAAGCATTTGTTATGAGCTGATGGATAAACATATTTATATATTTTAGCACGTTTATTATTTATCTGAATTACTTTAATAATATGTTTAGTAGAGCAGTTTAAAAAGAGGAGGGAATTCACTTTCATTTTTAGTTTCATAATTCAAAATATTTTGACCAGTTCTCATATATAGCACCTTATATAACTTTTCATCTGAAGATCAAGACCATGAGAGCCTAGGCACAAGTGAAACTGTTCTCTACAGCTCGTGCATAAATGTAAGAGTGAAATGGACACCGTTTAGGTGTTCATAGATTTTATTATTTACTAGATTTGTTATTCAAAATGGATTAATGTTCCAGCTAACTGTGGGAACCGTACCTATTTCTTTATTTTATTGTTATGGTTGTGTCCAACCCTGCAAAATTGCCAGAAACCAGTTTAGTTTATTGGTTTCTTATGCATCTCCAAGAGGGTGGTGGCATTCAATTCAGAACTGGTCCTGTGTCTTCTAGGAACTGAAAAGATAAAAATAGGACACAAAATGCAACTGGAGGAGCAGAGGTATATTCACTAGAGCTGGACAGGATCCTGAATTTCTATCCCATGGGAAATTTTGCATTTCTGAAAAAAAGTTCCAAATTGGAACAAAAAGTCAGAAGTGCAAAATTTCCCAAGGAATAGCAATATTTGAACAATTCTGTTCCAGAAAACTTGAAAGGGAATTTTTTAAACATTTTCTGCTGGCTCCCTGACTACCCAGTGGGGTCCCTGACTGCCCTGCTGGCAAGCTAGTTGTACATCCAGGGGCACTGGGCAGTTCACTCAGCTGCCAGTCAAGCAGCCCAGGGAGCTAGCCAGCTGGGGAGCTGACTGCCCCTGAAGCCTGAGGTGCCCCAGTTCTATGGCAGCCTGTCATGTGGACTACTGAAGAGCTGGAGGCCCCAGATCCACCGCAGCCTATCCTAATCAGGCTGCTAGGGAGCTGGAGCAGAAATTTTCAGTTTCGTACAAAGTGGTTTTTTTTTCTGTCACAAAATTAATCCAAAGAAAAATTCCCAACCAGCTCTAGTATTCACCCTGACAGGCAAGAAACAAACACTGTTATATCAGGGCAAACAAGTGTTTCCTCAATATAGCAAACCAGGCAACAAAGGAGAAACACTTAATTTAAACTTAACATAGCAGCACCTTTAGCTTTAGCTATTATGACCCTAAACCAACTTCTGATACATACCTAGAAAGCTGGAAAGTCATATTGATTCAAATGGGGTTAAAGAAGGATTTGATGGGATACTGATCCAGTATTGCCAACCCTAAGCATCCAAAAATTATGCACAAAGCCGCAAACAATCATGAGATTGACTTAGAATCATGAGATTTTATAAAAAATTTAGAGTCCTTTTTATTTGTCTTCTGGTGTTTGAGTCTTTAAGGTGCAGAGTTTTTCAAACTTTCCTCTGCAACGATGAAGGCCAATAACTTTCTTCCCCCCCCGCCGCCTAAAAATGAAAGCTGAGATTCCTGGAAAAAACATGACCCTAAGAGCTAGGTCTATAAGAAAAACTCCAAATTTCATGAGACTTGATATAAAATAGCAAGAGCTGGTGGCACTATGGTCTCATAACAAATGATCTCCTGGACCTCAGTGAAATTTGCCTTCCCAGAACTAATGTATGCTTTCTTATTTTTAAATATTTTTGAATTATTATTGTTCATTATAGAACACCATTAATTTTACATCTGCTTTAAAAACAGAGGAGAGGCACCCTGCCTCAAAGTGATTACAATCTATACAAGACTGAAGTTATCCTAATCTTTACCTTTTATAAAGATAAATATAGTTTAAAAAAAAATCCAGATACTAGGGCTCAGTCCTGCAAGAGACTGAGCACACTGGCCCTGATCCAAAAAGTAGTTTAAGCACATACTTAACTTTAAGCACCCAAGTAGTCTCAAATTGGCCTCAATACAGCAGAACACTTAAGTACTTACATGATTATCCTATAAAACTATTCAGTTGCTCAAAATTAAGTATGAGCTAAGTGCTTCGCTGAATTAGTGACAGCATGCTCACTCAGCACCTTGCTGGACTGAGTCCTCAATAGCTAAGCACATGCTTTAACAAAGACCCCTGTTCTAGCATCTCTTATTTATCATCAGAACTGGAGGCTTCCATTTATTATATTTTTTGCATTTGTATTTATTTATAGCAAATAAAAATCAGGTCATAATATTCAACAAATTCTTAGGTTTCAGAGTAACAGCCGTGTTAGTCTGTATTCGCAAAAAGAAAAGGAGTACTTGTGGCACCTTAGAGACTAACCAATTTATTTGAGCATGAGCTTTCGTGAGCTACAGCTCACAGTGAGCTGTAGCTCACGAAAGCTCATGCTCAAATAAATTGGTTAGTCTCTAAAGTGCCACAAGTACTCCTTTTCTTTTAACAAATTCTTAGTTGTTTCTTTAGTACTTGTGAGGGACCAATATTTGTTGCTTTGCCTTCCACTGCTTTCAAGTTCAGAACTTTTGTAACTGATAAACAAAGTGCATGTTAGCAATTAAAGCTCAAAATTAGGTAAGCAGTAAAAAGTAATCTGAGAGGAGGACCATAGCTACTGATATTATTGAAGCTGTTCTTGAAACATATGTTTTCCAATCTTTAACACAATGCACAAAAATAAAACCCTGCACC